AGAGGATGGCATGGTATTTTCTTCTGTTCCTCAGGTATAGATTGTTCAACCTGAGAATTTTCAGTATTCACACTATAAAATGGAGATAAGAATCAGTCAAGAGGGGACATCTTTGAAAACAAAGTGTTTTTGAAGTAAAATAGAGAAAATAAAGGTCAGTGTTGGATAGATGTAGCCTGTGATAGATCTGAGGCTACATTTGGAAAGATCTTCACTTCAGGCCAGGGCTGAAATCTGTGTTAGACTTTGAAGATACCAGAGAAGAAGGTTCTACAAGGAAGGATGAGGGAGATGCTGAGATGTTGCAGCAGCCATGTCTGAAGTCTATAAGGACTAGACTCTAAAGGACGATGAAAGTGAAGAAATAGTTTTCTCAAGGACAGTTAATGTGGTTAGGCAGGGCTAAAATGAGGAACCAGAAACTAAAGAGGCAGAGAATTCCACAGGGCTTAGTGGTCGTGCCCAATGCATCAACCCACGGTATGGGAAGGGCATGGTTAGAAGGGCTAGTCATAATGAAGACTGCTCATGGAAAGTAAAGCCAGACAATAGAATTATATTTTGAGAAGGGAAAACAAAGTTGTGGTTTCTAAGAGGCACTGATGATGAATGGGTCCTAAAATTGGAAATACATTTAATATTTAGATAGAATATTTAAAAAATGAGATTACAAGCATCATTGTGAAAGAAAAAAGATAAATAGAAATAAAGTGGACAGTACCCATTATTATTAATTTAAGACACATAATACATAACAGATGTCTGAACTAAATATATTGTTTTAATTTTATTTTGTGGGAAGGCATACAAGAAGAACATTAATAATTTAATTGTGAATGTATATAATTGCAAATATATGTTATGTATATAAAATTGTGACTATATATATATATATATATACACACAGAGGATGCTAAAAATGTATACACATTTTAAGAAAGGAAAACTGTATATATATACATATATGCATGTGTATGTGTGTGTGTGTGTGTGTATAAGAGGAGTTTAGGTTTAGGAAGAGTTGATATACTAAACAGCAAAAAAATTATGCAAGTATACTTGGATTATAAACTTCTAAAACTTTTTTTTATGATTTATTTTCATATC